TATCTCGAGCATGCGATTGTATGTTCGCGCGAGAGAACGTGTCTAATCGGGCGAAACTGCGCAACGTGGCCGTTGAAAACTGCGCAACGCAGGGTTGACTCTGGTTCTGAACCTTCCCATGGAATTACCACTTGATAGTTGTAGTGGGTTGCACTTATCAATACCTCGCTTCCCTTGGCCAAACATTGTGAAAAACTGAGATGGTATTGGATTTTCGAGGGTTGCCATGGCTTTATGTTATGCATGCATATAACTAATGTAGATGCATTCGACTTCCAAATTGAAATTGTAAAATGCATGGACTCTCTGCAAAAGAGACCGGGATATCCGAGTGCTGAGGGGTGGGGGTTGAATTCCGCATCTATGGAAACTCTGAGGTCAATTTCTGTTGAGGCTCATGTGAAAACCGTAAAAATGGTTCCAGTACGGGCTCGAGGTTCATGTTCACATGCTGGCCGATGATGACTCTCATCACAACAAAAATTTTTAAAGGCGCATAAAAATCGGTCCCAGTGCCAGGCCTACCACCAGGAAGTGGTCACCGGCTTCTGTTGTCAGTATGCTAGAGCTACGGAGGAATGAAGTTCTCGGTCAAAATGCTTTTCAAATTAGAGTTCTGAACATAGGATAGCTAATAGGGAAGCTAATAGGGATGCTGAGTGATTGCTGATTTCATGAAGCGCAGGACCACCTAGTTTATGGTTCAGGAGGCGCGGTGGGAAGTGGCTAAGGCTAGGGATATTGGGCGCGATGTCAAACTCTACTGCAAGGGAGAAAACGCTAAGCGGAATAACGTGGCTACGGCCAATCGGAAGAATCACGAGAGAGTAGAGAGTCTAGCCGATATTTAGTCGGCGTCTTCAGCCCCCCCCCAAGAATGTGGTACTGATTAATCAACTTTGGAGAATAAAAGCTTCGGTTGGCCTGAGCGAATTGCTATTTGACCCAAAGATATATCATACGCGGCGTCACTACTCTGACGCTATTCCACACCCTCAATAACATTTACGCCAGAAAGAGCAAAATTTCTATTTTTCAGCATTGCATGAATAGCTCTAGTATGACACCGTTCTGCTGCAAACGTGTACCTTTTTATTACTGAACCCTCCCCGTCATAGCCTAATTATTTGGAGCGGTTTGTCCTGCGGCGAATGGCAGAAAAGCGCAGGCACATTAGGTAGTTGTCTTGTCTGTTGTGCCGGTTCGGAATCATTTAATTAAGCTGTCGTAGATCGCATTACATAGCGATCATTTCAAGGCGTGACGTCAACAAGTAACGACGCTAGAGGGGGGAGGGGGAATTTCGATATGATAATAAATAAAGGATAAAGCATTTGCCGTTGATCAATCCCTTTTTGGGATGCGGCACGCATTCTACTTCCATTTGTACATTCGCAGTGGCGTTTGAATGCGATGTGGCCTATACAATGACTTGCGGGGGCCAGCCGATGTACGAATCATTTGTTTTTTATCTTCCCAGACAAGTCTGGTACCAATTAACCCCG